GTGAAAGATCTTGGAAGTTCTAGATCTTTGATCCATAATACAATTTAATACATATGGAACAATAGAGATTTCGTGGCACAATTGGTATTTTGCTGGGTATTGACACACCTTAATATGTGTTCGGGTCCGCCACTGTCCATAATCTCCCCCGGTGTTCGGAACTAACCGTTGATAATACCGTATTTAAAGCGTAAATCATCCCTTCCAAATGGAGTTGAACTAGTAACTTTGAACCTTGAAAATTTATTCCACTAGCCCACCAACCAGTTGGTAATATGCATAATATTATTGGCTTAATTTATGTTAATTGAAAGAAAGAAGTTTAATTTTCAGTGGGAATACCTCAAGAGGTGCACTACAGAGAAACGGCTCTTAGATTGAGGTCTTCGACACTAATCTGGTATCTTGATTGCACTTCTATTATCTGGTCTCTTTAGCAGGAGATTGGTACTTAACTAACTGGTGCTTCATAACCTTTTGAATGTGAATCCTTGAAAGAAAATTATCCTTCTAGTTTGGTAAGAAGTGATTTACATGATTTGAAATAAGAAAAACTAGCGGTGGCACGATTTGTTGATTCCCTATACAGATTGATAGGCGTCTAAAACTATTTGTAGGCCATGTTTCATTTTGTATTAAATGCAAAAAAAATACAAAAAATTTAACAAAAAGAACCCTGAACAAGAAATGGAAAAGCACAACTTGGTAAGAAATGTTGTATTGAGAAATGCACCATTTAAGATTACATAAAGCTGTTTAACTAAGATCACGTAAATCAGTCTTAAATCTTTAATTGGTACCTGGACCTTGGGTTAATAATTAGTAAATAAAATGGTTTTTAAAAACTATGAAAGCAATTAAAAACGTTTAAATTTTAAATTTTTCCAATCAGATTTGTTAGATTTAAGAGCCCTAAAAATCTTAAAATTATTCTTTAATTTTTTCACATCATTTTTTTTTCATGTTATGCTTATTTTTATTAAAAATTTTTGTTTGTGATATTTTGTTTTAATCACAATTATCTATATACAAGATTTTGTATAAGATATTATTGGATTTGATAAATAAAATATCTATTTTTTATTCATAAATTTACATAAAAATAATATTTCAATTTATATAATAATTACATAAATGTACGCAAAACACTTAATTGTAACTTGTTAGAATTAATTCACATAGCTGTTAAATTGTTAGAATTAATTGTTAAAGTTCTTAAAAATATTTAATTTTCTTTTCTTTTC